AGATTGTCTGGTCAAAGGCAATAGAAACGGTGTGAGGATCATAGAACAAATGCCAGAAGACTGGAGTGGGCAAGGTCCACAGAACTTGATAGCCAACTGGACAAGTTTGACAGAGCTCAAGGAAAAATCAAAGAAGTTTGAGTGGTCTTGAGCGTGGAAGATGTGGGAAAATAAGAAGGGAGGTGATGAGACCAGCGGTTCTTCCTGGAACTCTCAAGGGGAAGAGCAGGGGTGAGAAAAGAAGAATCCAAAGCGGGGATCAGAAGGACCGTGAGGGCTGGTGACCCAAGCTAGGGAGTTTGTTCATCACAGCTCCTAATGTACTCCTCAAATGAGGGAGCGGCACACAAATTCGTAAGGTTCATCAGGCAGCAGAATTATGGGGAGAGTAACTCTTCTTTCTCTTTTGCAAGGTACATGCAGGTACACTAAGCAGAGCATTTCCCATCTCTGTGTCTGGAAGATTGTCCATAGCTTTACAGGGAAACTGGTCTTGGTGCCTCCAGAGCCCTGGCACCAGTCCATTGCTGGTCTTGCCAAGCATGACCTTGACAGGAAAGAAAAGCCCAGAGCTCCTTGTTCCATGCCCAGAACCGCAAAGGGCCTTTGACCTTTCCTAGCCCTTGACAAGAAGGCAATGAAGTAAAAAAATGTCAAAGGAGAAAAGAATTCATTTGGACAAGTGATGGGATCTGAGAGACATATTGGGCATAAAATGGAACTTCCCAACAGTATTTTGTGGGTCTTGGTACCCAATAGGTTCTTAACAAGTGTTTACAGCATATTGAAGGTGACTAGGAATATGTGCATTAGATGTGACAAGTATTAACCGTTCATAAGAATGAAAGACGCTACTGCATTTGTCCAACTGGAGAATAGGGAGACAGATCTTCCGGGGGGCGGGGGGGAGTGATGAATATAAAGGCTGAGTGAGAGATACATTCCTAAGAAAGAAGAAACCACTAGCCAGAGGATGCAGTTATAAACAGATACACAACAACAACCTTCAGAAGATATAAACAAGAGATAGACTTGGGTGTCCACAGGGGCAGTTAGAAATCAGCTTCAGTGAAGGTCTTTGTCTTAGTTAGGGTTTCTGTTTTTGTGACAAAACACCATGACCAAAAGCAACTTGGGGAGGAAAGGGTTTGTTTCATCATACAGCTCACAGTGCATCATGAAGAGAAGACACAACAGGAACTCAAGGCAGGAACCTGGAGACAAGGACTGAAACAGAAGACATGCAGGATCACTGTTTATTGGCTTGTTCCCTCATGGTTTGCCCAGCCAGTTTTTTTGTTTGTTTTGTTTTGTTTTTTTAATATAGCACCTAGGACCACCAGCCCAGGGATGACACCACCCACAGTGGTCTGTCTCCTCCTCCATCTGTCAGCAACCAAGACCATGCACTAAAGACTTGCCTACCAGCAAATCTTGTGGAAGCATTCTCTCAGTGGAATGTCCCCTCTTCCTAATGACCCTAATTTGTGTCCAGTTGACCTCTAACTCAAATAACTAGCCAGCACAGTCTTTGATCCTGGAACTACCGTGATGAAAATGAGCTTTGGATACAATGAACTTGACACAGGTTTTCAGGAGAGACTCAAAGTAAGAAGAGGGTCCAAACACTCTGAGAAGCTGTTGTACCAAGTCAACCATTTGCACAGTAGAACTAAAAATTGGTGAGAGATGGTAAGGCATTCCCTCAGAAGAGCTGAACATGCAGTGGGATTCCCTGGGACATTCCCAGTCTGGGAAACTGCATGGATGGCCCCTTATTATATTAGGGTTGTAAGAATAACGCAGTAGAATAGATAGTTGCTTGTGTTTAATCTTGTGCTGTTTGTTGCTGCTGTATGACCTTTCCTGAGGAGACATAAACAAGCATTCACCCCAGATAGGCCACTAACAATAGATCAAAGAAATGATCCCACCTAAGTATACCTTAGTGACCGGGGAGTTTGTTGTTGAGGGCTATGGTTGAGGGGCTGCTTACAGGAGCAGAAGTGACGCCTAGGCAGCCGCAACACTGAAAAGCCCTCTCCAGTATGGTGAGAACACATGAAAGCTGCATCTCTGGAGCTCCCTGGTCAACTTGCAGACAGCTTGGCCTTCCAAGGGGTCTCTTCTCCCCAGCAACTGTCGCTGTTTGCGTAATCTTTGGGATGGATCTTGTGATTCCTGTAACTTTCGGGATCTTCCTGTAAGTCTCTAATCCCTGAGCCTTGTGTGTTGTGTTTACTTCCTGAGGAGTCTTATTGGCCTTCCTCCTCCTCTCCCCAGGAGGGGATGTTTTAATTCAGAGAAATAGATACTCAACAGCTTCCAGCTAACAGAGCAAAGAACTGGCTCAGGAGGGGAACCTGAGTCAGTGAGCTTTGATTTGGACAGGCTAGATGGTACAGAAGTGTCATCTGGGGCCCCAGAGGCAGCATGAGGATACAGGCTCTAGCTAGAAATGCTGCCAGGCGGAGACCAGAGGCAGGGACAGACACTGAGTGCTAAGGCAGGGCAGAACTTGCCAAGAACACAGGTGCTTTGTCACCGTAAGATACAGTAGCAAAAACACCGTTGACCCAGAAGCCCAAAGCCTGACCAGGAGGCAGTCCCACACTTGCCAAGGTGACCTTGACAAGCCATCTAGGCTTTCTAAGATAACTAATGTGGAACCATCAACCCAGCCACTGGAATCTGGCTGACACATGGCAAGTATATACAGACCAGGAAGGTTTTGAGCTTCGACTTGCTCACTTAGGAAGTGGAATTACCAGCATAGCCATCCCTGTGCCCAGAGCAGGGGAGAGGGAGGGAGCGTGGATGTGGGCTGTGATCACTTACCACAGAAACTGTAGAGCAATCTGAAAGGGAAATGGGGTTTCCACGGGCCTGCTGCGCTCTCCAAAACTCAACTTCTGAAGCAGATGAGTGCTTTTAGAATTTTTGCACCTACAATAAAAAAGAAAGAAAGAAAGAAAGAAGGAAAGAAAGAAAGAAAGAAAGAAAGAAAGAAAGAAAGAAAGAGAAAGAAAGAAAGGGCAGAAGAAGCCACCCATATGTGTTTCACCCCCTGGAGAAATGAAGTGGGAAGACAGTCTTTGTGCAGTGAACCACAATTAGGGCAAGAACAGGTCTTCATCGCTTTATGCTAGCATTGCCCTGCATAGGCTAACTAAACCCTGATATGTCCACTGTACCACGGGGGTCACGCAGGACAGCTATCGCTCAGAGCCTTCAGTCCTGGAAAAAGCTGGATTTCAATAGATGGATGAGATACCTACAGATTTAGCTCTTTCAAAGACAATGGGAGCCCATGATCGTGTGCTGGTTGCAGTGACATACAAACAGCTTTGCTGTCACCCCAGGGGATTTCCCCTTGTCCTGATGCTCGTTGGCTTGTCCCTCCCACCCTATTCTGCCATTCATATAAAGTACACCTCCTTGCTTCTCAACACCTTTTACACAAGTCTATCCTGGACCTTAACTTTCTTTCCTATTTGTACCAGGATTTTGCTTTCAGGCCACCAACCAGCTCCCAAATCATGACACAGAGACTGGTTAGTTTTGAATGCTTGGCCTTATCTTAGCTCTCATTTTAATGTTTCTCTTTATCTATGTTTTGCCTTGGGTTTTTTTCCTTTTTTCCCTTCTGTGTATCTGACTTTCACTGGTTCTCATGTTTGACTGTAACTGCCTGGCTTCCAGCTCCGGGAGTGTCTCTCTGTTCCTCCCTTGTTCTCTCCTCCTCCTCTTCTCTCCTTCTCTAGCCTTTATTTCTCCTCCTATTTATTGTCTCCACCTGCCAGGTCCACCCATCCCTCTCCTGCCTAGCTATTGGCTGTTCGACTTTTTATTACACCAATCAGGTGCTTTAGGCAGGCAAGGTGGAACAAATGCACATCTTCACATAATTAAATACCCATCCTTACATCATTAAACAAATGCAACGAAAACAAATAAGCACACCTATACACGGTTGCAGTAACATTCTGTGGCATAAAAGAATGTAACACCTTTTTGCCTAGGTAAAGCAATATTCCACAACACCCATTAAAGGTCTTTGATTCTGCCTGCACCCTCACAATTGCTTCTTGTCTGATGTCTGGTGTGTGCATCCTCTCATCTGCAGAACTTCTAAGAGTGAGTCACCCTACGGGAACATCTCAATCTCTCCTCCCCCTGCATTGTCCTGTTGCATTCAGGCCTCTGTCCCAAAGCTGTAACAGCAGATAAATATGCTCCCTGTCTCATTTGACTTCACATGTATTTAATTGCATAGGTAATCAAACTAAAGTTCCTTCCCCCAGGATATGTCTTAATAGCAAACAGGTGCTTTGTGCGTATTGATTAAGTGAGTGAAATGAGCATCCGTCATAACCATATAATCGTGTCGGTCATCACCAGGAGCTCCGTCAACATCTGATGCATGTACCATTGGTACCAGTACTGTGTCTAGTACACAATTGGCCCTCGGTGATTCCTTGCCAACAGCTTATCCTCAGACAACCAAAGAATCTGCTTGATTCTGTGTTTTGTGATTCTAAGAAATATTGCAAGCTCTGTTCTTTGCACATTGGCCTCAAGATGCTACAGCTGTAGCGGCGGCCTGAACTTTCTCATACCCCTCCCTTCCTGTCTCAGGCCCCAGGTTTCAGGCTGAGGCTGTCCAGTTTCTCTGAGAGAGAGAAAAAAAAGACTAGATGTGATTTCTCTCCAGCTGTTTCTGCGGCTCCCGACCCAATCTTCAGAATGCAAGGAATGCTATCTTTCTGTTACTTGGCCTCAGCGAGCTCTCTTGCCCCCTTGCCAGAAAGGACCAGCCACCTGCAGTTGATGGATCCCTCTGGCCTTGTCCCAGACTGGCTGCTTTCTTCCCAGCAGAGTCAGCGGGTGTCCAGCTGGCAGGCCAGGCTGCTAGGACTTTGAAAAGAGCACTTTGTCATGGGGGTGATGCTCCCGACTGAGGGTGCTCCCGACTGAGGGTGCCCTGCTGTGTTTTTCAGGCTGTGGTGGTGACCGATGGAGAGCGCATACTGGGCTTGGGAGACCTGGGCTGCTACGGCATGGGCATCCCTGTGGGCAAGCTGGCCCTGTACACCGCATGCGGAGGAGTCAATCCACAGCAGTGCCTTCCCGTCCTGCTCGATGTGGGCACCAACAATGAGGTAACAGGCTGTCCAAGTCAGCAGCTTTTGAGCCCGAAGGAAGATGAAGTGGGGGGCGCTTTTGCGGAATAATTATATCCACATGGGCAGTTTCGTTCCCAGGGTGCTCTCGACCCCCACTCTTCCCACACAGTTGTAAAGTAGTGAATTCTCTCTCCCAAGCCCCTTTGCTTCTGAGTCCTCTTGCTTCTGCATCTTCCTCCTCTGTGCCCACAATGCCCTGGTCTTAGTACTTCCATTGCTTCATGAACCCAACAAGTTTGCAATCCTCCTTGGGGCTCCTCTCTGAGAGAGCAGCCAGTGCTGAGATTAGTCTGTGTTCTTCATTTTCAAGACAATTTGCCTCAGTGTATAAATTAAAGTTCAAAAGGAAAGGTCCAGGCTGAGATGTTGGGGACAAGCAGACAAGTGTCCTGCAGATCAAGTGAGAGAAATTGAGCTAAGATGCAGGTCAATCCTCCTGTAGGATTCAGGGACCTTGTCAAGGAGATTAACCCCCAGGCAAGAGTTTGTTGCTCCTGGGACCACGCTGGCACATTGTCTCTGGCTATAATTCTCAGTCCTATGACTGACAGGAAAAAAAAAAAAGCAGCTTCCACAGGTAGTGATGGCTCATGCCTTTAATCCAAATTCAAACACAGCCTGGTCTATAGAGTGAGTTTCAAAACTAAACAAAACAAAACAAAAAGACTCTCTTTTTTTATCTTCATTTCCAAATTGTTTGCTTAATTCAAACTTTCAGTAATTTTCACTAATGAAGCAAATATTCCTCTATCCAATTGTCACGTTTTGCAAATTATAATTTTATGGAATATATGAATAATAGTGAAAGTGAGTCTCATTATGAAATTCTCATGCGCGTCTATAATATACGTAAAGGGAATTTCTTCTAAATATCATTTATTTTTTTAATTTAAGATCGGTGTGTGTTCTTCTTTTAACAATCAAAACTCAGAGATGTATGAAAGGTAAACTGTTAGTCACATTATCAGTACATTTTTATAGATATAGCATCTTGATGTTTTTAATATGCTTATGAAAAGTATGTTTATATGTACACCTCTTTAGACCTGATCACCTACAGAGCAGCCCTGCCATTTCTAAAGTCTCCTCCTCCTACTGTGTCTCCCGACCGGCCTATGAGACGGGGCCGGTGGTACGAGCCTCATAGCTGCCCAGTCAGGGCAGAACTTATTGCTCCAAACCAAGTTCCCTTCTCCCGGCCAGATGTTTGAGTTTATACCAAACAACCCTATATGTTTATACAATAAAATTTTATGTATTTATGCATTAAATTAAATTACATATGTTACATATATGTATCACATATATATTGCATATATGTAATATATTTTTTAAAGTTTTTTTCTTCCAGTCTCTTTTCTCTCCAAACCCATACAAATACCAAACTTGGAGTTGCATTGCCTTACCACTCTGAAGCCTGCTCTTTATAGTTTGCCATACGTCAGGAGTTCCCTCTGGGGTTAACAACCATTCCTCCATTTGGTTGCTGTACCGCAGTTCACGCAGGGAAGCCGACACAGCTGCACATTTAGGTGTTCCCAAAGTTCTTGCAGAGGTCAGCTGTGCTCCGGTCCCCACTTTGCAGATCAGACATCGTTCTCATCTCTGATGTCTCTTTAGGACAAATTCCTAGAGGCAGAAATACCGGTGCACATTGGAGGTGGGTGTTCGTCTAGATTAGCGGAATGGGTACACGTACATATTGGGGGAACAGTTAATATGTGTTAGCCAGAGAAAAACCTCCAATGCCTTTCCTCCTCCAGCACTGTGCTGTTTGAGGCAGAGTCTCGCACTGGGATCTGGGATTTAATGGTTCACATGGGTTGGCTAAATAGTGAGCTGTGGGGATCTTGCCAGCGTGCGTCCCCTGTGCTGGGATTGTGGGTGTGCACTGCCATGCCCAGCTTTTTTCCATGTGGTCGCTGGGGGCTGAACTTGGATCCTCATGCTTGCGAATCAAATGCTTTAATCACCGAGCCGTCTCCACAGCCCTATGGTTCAGATTCTTGATCCACATTTGCTATTCCACAATGATTCAGTTCAAGGAAAACCGATTTCCTCATCTTTAGACAGAATGGTCTGGGTTTCTAAACAAGAATGAGATTTCTAATTCCTAGCAAGAACTTCCAGCTTCCTCGGGCTCCACCCTGAGATGAAATCTCCTCCCTGAATTCAGGGATCCAGAAGGAGACCTTTCTTGAGAGCCAGAAACCTCATGGGGTCACGGGGTAGGCAGTAGAGGACAAGAGAAGTGGGTTAAGAAGCGGAGCCCTGGCCCCATGCCACCAACAGGCCAGGAGAGTCACTTCACCTCTTTAGACCTGACTCCTACAGAGCAGCACTGCCGTTTCTAAAATCGCTCCCCCTGCTATGTCTCCTGTCCTACGAGATAGGGCTGGGTGGTAAACACAAGCCCTACAGCTGCTCAACACGGCCTTGATCTGTAACAAATCCATCAGAATCGATCTCCACAAACAAGTGGCAGTCGTGGACCAGGACCTTCACCTAGTTTGAGCCTCATAGGAGCACGGAGTGAAAGCCTCTGCCACTGCCTTCTCTTTCCCCTTCAGAAAACTGAGGTCCAGAAACTTTAATTGGCTCAAAGAGATTCTATTCAGAGCCAAGATCCTCTGCCATATCCCACCCCTGCTGGGATTCTGGTGTTTGATAAGCCAACCTCATCTCTTGATCCATAAGATAACTAAAGGAACTTCAGAATATTATTCAAATTATTTTTTTCTTTTTTCTTTTTCTTTTATTTGTTTGTTGTTGTTGTTTTCTTGTTTTGGTTTTTCTAAACAGGGTTTCGCTGTGAGACAGTCCTGGCTATCCTGGAACTCACTTTATAAATCAGGCTGGCCTCACACTTACAGTGACCTAGTTCTGACTCCCGAGTGCTGGGGTTTAAGGCATTTCTTAAAAGAAATGACATTTCTCCCACAGTTCCCTGTTTGTGCCCCTTTCAGTATTTATTCATGACACACGCACATATAGATGAATTTGTTACTTTGCTGCAATCACAATGCACCTGTATTTCGTTCTCATTTTTTTCAATCAAGGTTATTTTATGAACCCTTTCTTTTTACTCCTTTAATCAAAGTTTACTGAGTGTTTAGTAGGTGTCGGGCACTCTGGTAGGCTTGAGGGAGATAAATGAACCAGGCCTGGGTGGGGCTGTCTAGCTGTCGGGGTTTCAACACTGCCACATAATGGATCATGTATTACATCATCACTCAGAGTGTCTGCTTCTCCCCTGAGTGCTGGATTCCAAGCATGAGAATTCAGAGTTGCCAAATGAACCAGCGTTACAAAGACCATGTTTCTCCCCCTTCAAATGGGTTTGCTATGCCATGCCTCATAGTACGACTCTTTGTTCAAAACGCATCTGTTTGTGAGTCTTTCATGAGGACAACACCAGGTAAGATGCCAGCATGGACTGAGGAAGTGTCACAGGGCCCCTGCTGGGTGAAGAGAGTGAGAATCAGCTTTCTCCAGGGACAGTCCCTCTGATAGGTTATCCAATTCTAAGTGGTCAGTCCTAAATGCATATACATATGAGCACAACAGTAAATGAACACTGGAGAAAACACACACATGCATATATATAATGTATACACACACACACAATTAAAGAAGGGCTCTTAAAGTTGACAGTTCAAAGGAAGTTGGAGAGGCATGGGAGGTGTTGGAGGTGGGAGATTATGGGTTGAAATGATGTCAATACAATACTGGTGTCTAAAATTCTAAAAAATAATAAAATGAAATAAAATAAAATAAATGTTTTTAATGCATCTCTTTGCAAAGAATTTTCCCCAGGACTCTTGGGGTACAACTTTCGCTGAGAGCGATTCTGGACTGTAGGGGAGGAAGCTGGATCTTATCGCTTCCACTGCCTATAGTAGTACAGGGAGGACACTGTTGTGAGATGTTTTTGTGTCCAAATAGCAAAACCATCACTGTGTGTGTCTCTCCTGAGGTGACAGCAATTGAATGAGTGTCAGCACACCCTTCTAAGCTTCCTGTTGAAAGGAAACATCTGCTTCTACATTCCCGAAACTGAGTCACTTTTACCCGCCAACACCAAGGACATTTGGAAAAACAAACGCATGGAGCAGGGATTCCATAGAGGAGGGATGTCCCAGGGTTCGGTTCCAAAGGCTTCGGGGCGAGGAGTCGTGGCTGCGTGTGGAGGAAACCAAGTACAAGATGGTCATATTGTCCAAGGAAGAAGGGACTAGAGGCAGTATCTCATACCAAACCCTTCGCTCCATGTAAGAAAAGAGGCCCAGAGCATAAATGTCTTCCCTAAGGATTCGTTCTGAAATCCTACGCACATGGTACTTTACAGTGAGATTCTTTGGAGCAGCCCGCAGTGCTCAGGTTGCCCTCCTGAGCCCCGAGAGTCTAATATTTCCTGAACTCCTGAACCTGTGTTCACCTCCTGGGACAATGCCATGTGGCCCTCTGAAACCCGCTATGTGGCTGATGAGGATGCTGACATCTGTGGGCAGACTCAGGGGAAAACTGGCCGCAGACCCAGACTTCGAAGACTTAGTGAGAAGGAACGGAGTCAGTTTCTATGCTGGGGTCGGCAGTTTCTTCTGTTCTGCAAGTTTGTTGTCCCTGAGACTAGAATACTCAACTTCATGGTGCGATACTACCAGAGAGCCCACTCTCCGCATGCACGTGTGAGGATGCTACACCAGAATCTTTGCAGCCTTCTCCTGGGCTTAACTTAATTTTCCATGAAACAAGCAATAGAAATAACTACAATTTGAGGGGAGGGTGCTATGACCACAAAGTGGATACCAGGCCATAACCTCCTGGCTACACAGATTTGGGGGAGGGTGCTATGGCCATGGGGTAGACCCCATGCCATGACCTGGACACACCAATGTTCTTCGTGACCTCTTAGCCTGCCTGTTGCTACTCAAGGTAAATATTTTTTTAACCAGAGGGTTAGATACAACATTCCGTGATATGTCCAGGGAAGAGGAGGAAAAACTATTTGTTTTCCATGACATTTTGTCTCCAAGGAAAACCTTAGCAAGGCAGAGCTAGGCAAACAACCCAGAGGGTGTACTCAGCCCAATTCCCACAGCAAAGGAAGAAGCTCCAGTTTGCCTTCTTTGGGTAAATTTATTTCACCTATAATTCTCATCACTATTTATTTAGTTCCAAAGGGAACTTAGTAACCATCTAACAGAGAAAAAATTTAGCCATCAAATTAATGCTTAGGTACCAGGGTACCTTGTACACACCAGAGCTTGGGAATGAATAAGTTCAGTCCCTATCCTGTTCTAAAACAATGGTTTCTTCCCTTCCACTCCCACCAGTGGGTTTTGTGACCCAAGACAGTTCACTTCACCTTTATAAGTCTCAGGAATCCATTGGGAAGAAGCTGAAGGAGGTGATTTCCAAGATCTACGTTTTTAGGCTGGCATCTCTCTTAGCCCAACAGTCCTGCTCCGGAAGCTGGTATCCGGTTCCTAGATTTGCTGGTGCTGATGCTGTGTGACCTCTGAGGAGATGTCAGTGAGAAAGGAACAGACTTTTCTTCAAGAAATCACATGGTGTGACAGGAATCACTATTAATCTTTTTCGACACAGAAGAAGAAACAAAACAAGATTATATTTCTTTGCCCAAAGTCTCTGAGCTTAACTGATAGGGTGTGAATTCAAGCTCAGATCTGTCCAATTCCGAAGCCCAGAAACCCAGACCTTCTAGACCTTGCCAGCTACTGCTCAACTCTTCCGGCAGGGACAGACAGAGAGTGAGGACAAGAAGCTGGGGCTTAGCTCCTTGGTCCCCACAACATCAAATGATGGGGAAGAGAGGATGCTACCCTGAGAGCCAGTCTGAGCCACTTCTTCCTGGCTCTGGGCAGTTTGTTTAAACCACTGACCTCCAATGTCCTGATCTGTACAACAGGAATGGGACAGTCAGGCACCAGATCCAACGAGGGAATTTCTTCTCGCAAGCTCTCTGCAAGCGTAAAGCGCGTTTGTCTTTAGTGTCATCTCTATTCCTAAGTTTCTCCCATTTTTGTAGTTAGCTTTGAAGTACTTCAAGTATTATAAAAATCAAACACAAAGATGTCTTTGAAAGGTTTCGGGTGCCAGCACTCATTGCCCTCATTGTTGCCGTATGGATCCTAGAAGAGGCAGCAGAAGGGAGGGAGGAAGGATTTATCTTTGTTTGAAAGGGTACTTGCCCATCACGACCAAAGGCATGAGACAGGGGCATATTACATTGCATCAGGCTGCAGTATGACTCAGCGGATTAAACATCATGTCAATCTTACCAATGAGCAGAAGAGCCACCAAAGCCACAGGCTAGGAGCAGGGACTCTGGTTTCAAATACCAATTATTACTCTTACCAACAAAAGGCCTTGGGGCAGGTGACTTCACCTCTCTGTATCTTGTTACTTCGTTCATAACATAGGGGAATAATAAAAAGTAAAACCCATATCGCAAGTCCTCCTGGAAATACGTACGTGACGGCTTCGTAAGGGGAGGGAGAGAGAGGTGGTGGGAGCTGGAAGGACCTTCAGACTATACAGTACTGACAAGACTCTCATAGAAAGAGGAAGCAAAGATGGAATGTAAGAACTCTGCCTACAGGACAGCCCAGAAGAGTCTCTGGTGAGCAAAGACTGTATCAAATGACCTCATTTAGGAAGGATGCTCTGCCCTAACCCTCCCTGCCCCTGTTCTCATCATTAAGCCTTCTGGAGAGAATATGGATGGGAGATGGCCCTGAAACCGCCCTCCTGCAACAGATTCCGGTTTTAGAGTTCTGAGTCTTCTTCCCGTGGCTGCTGTGACCACACAGTTAAGGCCTCAGCATAGGGCACAGCAGAAGCTGTCAGAGCCTGAATGTCTGCTGCCCTTTATACCAGGCGCTGGAATTCACGAAGCTCTCTCATAATCTTCCACTGGTCACCACGAGCACTCAGTGTGGCTACACTTTATCCTCATCTGACCCATGAGAAGGAAGATCGGAGAAGCCATAAACGCTCCCTCCAAGTCCACAGCAGCCTGTCCCGGTGGAGGCAAAACCTGAGCCACGTTGCCTTCATCTTCACATCTTGCAACATCAGCTCAGATGGGCCGGCAGCGATGAATTTGTCAATGAGCTCTTATTCCGGGAACTTCCAAGAGGCTGCAGCAGAGGGTTAGTTCCTGTTTCCCAAGCATACCAGCCACCTTCCCCGCACTCTGCCTCCAACCTCGAACCTTCTTTTGTGCCCGTCTGCCTGGAGACCCAGCTAACCTGTTAGGATCTGACCATCTTTTCAGGCCTGACCATTTCCCCCACAATGCAGTTCCCACTCACCATTCAAGCACAGCTGCTTTCCCGCTCTATGTTTTCATACGCTACACTGTCTCCCAAAGCAGGGCCATCCTTCTCTGTGGCAGTTAGTTTCCTCGTCCACACCCTCAGGACACCGTGAGCACCCTCGCAGAATCAGTTGTTCTCCTTTATTGTCACACTATTCTAGGCTGCAAGCAGGGGTGTCGATTTCAATAAATATGTGATGTTTATATTGCATGCGTTGCACGTATTTTGATAGTCTTGTTTATTTTTGAACTCTTATTTTGAATTATTCTAGATTAGCATGCACTTCTCAGAAAAAAATACAGTGTGTTCTGTATTAATCACTTTTTGTTGCTCTGATAAAATACCATGACCAAAAGCAACTTGTTCCAGAAGGCTAGAGTTCGTAATGTCGGGATGGCATGACACAGCCTGGCAGCAGGAGCAGGAGGCTGGCTGCTCACATTCTATCTGCACACAGGAAGCATAGGGAGAGGAAGAGGAACAAGGATATAAAACCTCAAATCCCAGCCCCAAGGATGTGCTTCCTTCTCCTGCAAGGGTTCACCTCCTAAAGGAGCCACAGCCTCACCCCCAAAGTCACCACCAACTGGGGACTAAGTGTTCAGATACGTGAGTCTATATGGGATAGTCCTCATTCAAACCACCACGAGTCCCTATACCAACGAGCCAGTTTTCTTCAATGGTAGCATGTTATATACCACCAGGAAATTGACCATGACACAATCCATGGATCTTATTCACAATTCACTAGTTTTTGCATACATTCATGTGTGTGTGTGTGTGTGTGTGTGTGTGTGTATACATATGTGTTTATTTGCTATCAATCCTGTGACTTATGTAGATTTCTGTACCACTAAGGCTGTCAAGCTATGGAACAGTTTTATCATAGGGATATCTCATGCTATCCATTTATAACCATACCCATGTTCCCCTTCCTCTTCCTAATATCTGATGACTGGTCCCTATCTCTATAGCTTTATTAGTTCAAGAATGGTATGTAGATGGGATCAGGTGGTATTTAATCTTTGGGGGTTGGCTTTCTTTCATATCATATAGCTTGAGATTTGTCTAGATTTGCCCATTAAGAACATTATACATTTTTTCAAGTGTTTTTCCTCGTATATGATGAAGTTTCTATGGTTATTGAAATATATGATGAAGCTTCTATGATTATTGAAATAAATGAATTAACAAATAAATGTGTTATGCATGAATTAGTCTACTGATCCATAGGGGTATGGATGAAATAGGAAGCCAAATAGGAGAAGCTGGTCAGGCCATGTGTAAACAAAAGGAAGACCCAATATGCATGTGGCTACTGTGACAGAAAGTTTTGTTGCAAGAGGCAATGGAGAGTTACCTGCCAAGGCTAAGGAACGAGGTGAGCATCGTTCTTAGATGAATATCTAGTTGTATCATTATAACTTAGTATCCCCAAGACCTAGCAGAGTGTGAGGTACATGACAGGTAAGATTTTACTGAATTAATTAATGTTTTATAAGTTATATTGAGGGAAAGAGGATGAGACCCCACTCCCCAATCCAGATGCTACCTTAAGTCAACCTCAGAAGTTCTCAACCAAGAACATTCTGCCTTTAAGAATACCTTTAGCAATATGGAAAGACATTTTTATGGTCACAACTGCGGATGTTGCTGGATTCTGGTGGGCATAGGTTGGAGATGCTGCTAAATATCTTATAATATGCAGGTCAGCTTTCAGATTAAAGAATTACTCAAGCCAAGCTGTCAGGATAGACACTTTTGAGAAACCCTGTAATAAACCCAGAGCCTATAGCCAGGGCTTGAAAGACTGTGTCTGATGGAGGCATTACTCGTTCCTAAAGTGGGGGTTGCATGGGAATCCAGCCTGAGCCAGGTTGTAGCCTCCAGACCATTCCAGAGATTTCCCCTCGGCGGAGGTAGGGAAACCCAGGCAGATTCCTTCTTTCTCTCCTCCTACCTCCTGTCCTTCCCACTAACCCTGGACATTCGCTGTACAGAAAACGAGGATAAACCAGGAAGAGTGGAGCGGGTTCAGTAAGTGGGTGCTCTCTGTTCCAGGAGCTTCTCAGAGACCCTCTGTACATCGGCCTGAAACACCGGCGTGTTGGTGGGAAGGCGTACGATGACCTACTGGATGAGTTCATGCAGGCCGTGACGGATAAGTAAGTGGGCCGTGCTGTCCCTTTGGGAGAGAGCTCTTAAGACGTGCCGTGGCCAAAGTCAAGCCTAGCTTTGGAAGAGTGGAATTCACAAAAGAGGCTGTGGCTTTATCCTTTGGGGTGGGTGGTCTGAAACTTTCAGCTTGACACATGCACCTGAAAGTCTGGAAGCCATGTGGGATGGGGCTGTCTCCAGGATAACTGCAAGAAGGCACTGGGATGTGGAGATAACTAGATTCTGTTGTTCCGGGAGGGAAACCCTCTGGGTCTGAACCACTCGGGGTAGTTTGTATGAATACAGACTCTGCTCTTCTGGTGAAAAGACGTTAGCCTCCTAATAAAATGGCTTTGGAAAGCAGCTCGCCATATTCATCTTCACGCACGCATGCGTGTGCACGTGCATGCACACACACACACACACACACACACACACACACACACACACACACA